GTTTTTCTTTGATTTCTTGTATAAATTTTTAGTTTATCCAATGGATTACTCGTGTTTGTTGAATTCCTTGTGTAGAAAATTGATTGTTGATAACTATGTTATGATTTGATATGGATCAAGAAATGAACACATAGGTATGTATGATTCTTTAGATGTGAACATTTATTTTTTGTTTCCATTTCTCTTGTTATTAAGGAACAGATGTTAGTAAAATGATGTGTTATGACTATGTTGAGTGTCAAGGTTGTCAGGATTGAAATTTTTGGTTTACCAGTCCAGAATCTGAATTGTGTCATGCTTATTTGCTATGAGCTCTCCGAGGAATTATTATTATTATTATTATTATTATTTTTTGGATAGTAAGAAACCAACCTACCAGTCTTGAAAGATTAGATGTGAGTGAGGAGCTTAGAAAAGTTTCAACACTCAACATGTGATCAGCGTGGGCTGGTATCTGCAACATATTATCTGCTACTTGGATCCAATAATGAAGTTTTAACTATACTGGAAACAGGAATAGGAGTACATATGAAACATGGGTTTCATTTCATTTGTTCGCTTATAAAATGTCATATAAGCTCAAAGATTCTTGTAAATGGAAGGTCCATGGAAACATTCTCTAGAGTTTGTATAGTCGTTTTTGGTATATGGTCTTGTGGGTTATATAAACAAAACACATTTGTTATTGTAGAGGGTTTTTGGACCATATTGGTAAAGAAAACACTGATAGGAGTGATTCTATGAAATGTTGTGGTCTTTTGTGTTTTTGGAAGATGCCATTCATTTCTTAGCTTTGATCTTCTGAAAAAAAATTAATCATTGGCCATTGATCTGTACCCTTCACATAATCACATGTAGTCGGATGTCGTGTCTATGGAGGCATGGAGTATAAGTGTCTACATCTATATTTCAAGAAACAATGAATATTGCAATTTGTATGTTTCAATTGATTTCTCAGTTTACTTCATTTTCTGGTATCAGTCTTGCCTCGTTTGATATGTATCTATCACATGTAGTTGAATTCGCTTTTAGAATTTATATTTACATTTTTAAGAAACATCTAACATTGCAATATATTGGTTTCTCACATTCTTTGTTTACTTCATTTTCTAACATCTTTCCCATTGCTTTCAGGAGAGGCATATCAAATTTCTATGCTGGCAAATCCAAATCATTTACGAGTCTATCAGATGCAACTTCTTGTTCCTCCTTGAAAGACATTGTCAAGCCCGAGAACCCGTACACAAGGAAACGCAAGAACGAACTTGCTCGCAACAATTTCTTCGACAGGAATCATAATTTTATCAATAGAAGCAACAGTGGCAGTATGTACAAGAGACCTACCAACGCTAGAAGCTCGTTGGCTCTTGCCGCAACCACGTGCTGCTCCGAGAACCACCATAGCACCGAGTCTTTCAACTCTACTCCATCATCACCACCTTGTTTCAACCTTCCGCCTCTTCCTCCTCACCCACGAAGATCTAGTAACGAGCCATCCTTGCCACATCCCGAACAGAAGTTCCCTTCGTGGCGGTCTTTCTCCCTGTCTGATCTTCAAGGCGCTGCTACTGCTGCAACTCCCGGCATTGCTGGTATAAAGAACTAGAGGATATATTAACTGCGGTTTGATTTTCTTAGTCGCCCTGTGAAATTAAGTGCACTAGATGTTCGTGGAGGTGGGAATATTTTGTTTGCAGTTGCTTTCTATGGTTTATGCTCGAGGCATACCGTGTGGGCACATAATGTAATTTCCATCTATATACTGTTTTAACCTATGTGTTTTCCCTTCTGACCATTGTATATCTGAATGCATTAGAGATTCTAGTTCTGCCTCTACTGAAATTTCAACCTCAAGGGCTCCAAATTATCTTTGCCGTGATAGTTAAAAATGTTCACGTTTATACCTGTACGAGTATATATATGGTTCTCGCGGAATTAGTTCTTAGTAGTAGATTACATGATTTAAAGTCACTTAGTAGTAGATTACATTATTTAAAGCCAGTATTTTAGCGGTAGATTGGAATTGTAATTTGATTTTCACTAATATCTTGGAGTTTGGGCTCTCGGAAACTTTAAGTTGGGCGGAAGTGTAGGCAAATTATGCCCTGGACCCGTGTCCACAGGCCCAAAACGACGTCGTTTTTCAAACGCGTCATTTAGTTATAAAAAAAAAAAAAAATTACGCGTGTTTTGTCATTAACGGCGTTATTTTTTTTGGATTATGAATGTACAGTTATGCTGTTATGAACAATGTTGAAAAAATCGCTAGGCGCCCTCTAGGCGCTTGGGGACCGCCTAGGGCGCCTAGAACGCCTAGGCGGGCGCCTAGAGCGCCTAGGTGCGATTTTTGCAACAGTGGTTATGAATGTACAGTTATACAATTATGAAATTATGAACACAGAGTTCTAACATTATGAACTTACAATTATGAACATATAGTGATAAAATTATGACCATGGAACTTTAAAATTGTGAATATAGAGCTTCGAAGATTATGAATGTACAGTTATGGAGTTATGAATGTACAGTTATAGAGTTATGAATCTACAGTTATGGAGTTATGAATCTACAGTTATGAGATTATGAATCTACAGTTATGAAATTATGAATGTATAGTTATTGATCGAATTATGAACAAAGAGCTCTGACATTATGAACTTACAATTATGAACATATAGTGATAAAATTATGAACATAGAGCTTCGAAAATTATGAATGTACAGTTATGGAGTTATGAATGTACAGTTGTGGAGTTATGAATGTATAGTTATAGAGTTATGAACGTACAGTTATGGAGTTATGAATTTACAGTTATTAACATATAGTAATAAAATTATGAACATATACTCCTATAACGAAGCGGTCTAAATTTTTTTTTTTTAAAAAAAAAAAAAAAAGAGGAGGAGATAACAGTGCCTAACGGCACTGTTACCCGTGTCCAGCATGCATGCTGGACACAGGTCCAACGCATATCGAAGAGATGGGTTCTTGTGCGCACAATAAGAGTTTATTTTGACAAATTATATTGTGGACCAGGGTCAGTGCCCAGTGAATCCTAGTTCAATACACAAAATTTGATTTTAGAAGTACAGAATTTATGTTCATAATACCCATACACATAAATACGATATAATGAACATGAATTTTGTGCATTATAAACATGAATTATGTGTATTATGTAAAGTGTTTATGTGTTCTCAGTTATATAATACACATAATTTATGTTTATAATGTACATAATTTATGTTCATTATATCGTGTTTATGTGTATATGTATTATGAACATGAATTTTGTATCTTATGAAGTTAAATTTTATGTATTGGACCAGAATCTACACGATTCATTTATGCACCCAGTTTGCACACACGCATTTCGGTTTAAGAAACTTTGGTTTGAAAGTGAAAGGAATTTCGGACAACTAGAGAATGAAGAGAAAGTAATTTAACATAATTTTTATTCATTTATTTATTTATTTATTATTTTTTTTTTTTTTGTAATTTAAGAATTTGTGTAAACTTTACAACATATATAGCTGTTTATCCCCAAGTGACTTTAACCTGGTACCTATTGGCTTCAAGTGATGGTGTTCCCCAACTATGTAACCCCACGCCATTATTAACTATCATAATTTCCTAACAATGTAGTTAGCCGATTTGGATTTTTGGCTTTAATTAATTGGTTTTACCCTTGCCAAGGACATTGTGATCCACCGGCACCAAGTTGCTCGCTTATGTGGGAAATTGTGGATTCGAGTTTCGATTCTTTGTGTTTCAGTAGGTTAAGAAAGTAGTTATAAAATTTTCTAATAGATGTAAAAAATAGTATTCAATAGCATTCAATACAACCAACTAAAAAAGGTTAATCTCCTATTATCGGACTCCATTGAGGTCTTCTTCAGGTTTCTCTCTTCTTTTGAAATCTTACTTTCATATATGCTTTGCTAAATGTAGTTCTTTTACATTGTAGAGTATGCCATGGATTTAGTTCCGACACTTTAGCATTTTCTATTGTTAATATATATAAGCGTGCGTGCAAGTTGGGTGCGTAAATGAATAATTATAATATTATTTATTCATTAATTTATTCTTTGAGTTTATTTTTTTCTATAGTTCTATTTTTATTTTCTTCAAATTGTGTTTAATTATGTAACGTTACACATTGTTGTCATCAATTTGATTGTGATCTATAAAGAGTTAATACTTGATACTTGATTTAGTATTCGATTATTAAGGTTTTACCACTTTGGTCATTGACCTTTCAGACTTGTTCAATTTTCTTTCCAGTTATACAATTGTGAATCAAAATCGGGTATTAACTCGATCTATAAATCTCCTTTGTACTAAAGTAATAGGTGGAAGGACTACTTTTTGTTTATTTTGTTAGCAAGTTCTAATTTTTATTTTGAGGTAGAATCATAATGTTGTGTCACTTGTGGTTTTCAGGTGTAACATTCACTACATAAATTGCCATGGACTCTAAGCCAATTGACATTGCAAAGGAGATAATTCGAATTTTATATAACATTGACATACAACTTTATAAAATTATAGTTTTTAATATTGGATATAACTCCGTGAAACTTGAGATAATTGTCTTTTGAATTTGGTTCAAACAAATTCGTTTCAACAATGTTATTATAACATTTTACCATTGCTAAAAAACTTGATAAGTGGACTCGTTGAAGATACGAAGACATCATAGACACCCAAGAGGCACAAGTGAATGATTTTTTTTTTTTCTTTTTTAAAGAATTTAAGTTCAAAATTCATTTATTTAATATTCTAGTCTTATTTTCTCGTTCATGTACTTTCTCAACGCCTCTACTGAGGCTTAACTCATAATCTTTTAAATAGAAGTCTAACCCGGATACTATTAGACCGCATAAATATTAATTTGGATCATAAGATTTTTTTTTTAAAAAAAGGGTTAAATAATGTACGTTTGACACACTCTAAAAAAGTATATTATTTTTGGATATATCATTTTTGGTTATTTCAAGTCAAACGCCGTTCTCCAAAGAGTATCGCGTTATCCCTGCTGAGTGCAACTGAAACTCGCCGCTGCACTACTATCTCAGTCACATCAAGGCGTGAATTTCTATCTTTCGATTAATTTCTTCAATAAATCTGTATTGTACTCTCGATAATTTGCGTGTATAAACGATTTTAGGTGTAATTCTCTTCCTTCTTATTTCAGGTTTTATTTGTTTTTAATTTTAATTTATTGGGGTTTGGGAAATGGAGAATGGCGGTTCGGGTGGAGAAGAGCCCGCTAATTGGGACGAGCTGTACAACATCAATTTGATGCCCTCAGAATTCTTTCTCAAGTTCAGGAAAGAACTCGAAGGTTTTCGTGTTGGCGTCAATCTGGAGGTATTATTTATGTCATCGATTCTGCTTTTTATTTTTGGGTGGTGTTCTTTATTAAATTGGAAGTTAATTAGCAATTATGGACTGATTAGTGTTCTTAGTTGTGAAGAAACTCAAGAAAGAGTGTGCAGAAACTCAGAATTCATCCTCTTTGGTGAACCATCAGTCCTTAGTTTGTTAATGGCATTTAAGTATTAATCTGATATGCTAGATACAAAGAGTAGTGTAGAATGGACATATATGTGCATAATCAGGAGACCCCCTTTTTTCCATATAGATGTGGCATAAAGAAAACTCATTGAAGTACCTATACCCTGTCACTGATCCTAACATTTGCATTGTGCACTGTGACCTTTGGTCTGGCTCTGATACCAAATTGAAGCATGTGCTTCATCTCAACTAAAAGTTTAAGCTGATAGTTGGATTGCACATTAATGGTTATATGCTCAACAGAGCTAGTTTTTATGAGTCTATGCTTTTGAGTTTATGCTAGTAATTGTAACTTCTGGGTTTATTTAATGTAGTTCTATAATTCTCCAACCAATGAGTACCTGGCAAAACTGGTTTTGAAGCCTTTGTCCCCTGATCGGAGATGGAAATTCATGTACGAGCCTTTGCATCATGAAGTGCGCCTTTTTTCTTCAAAGATCCCTGTAACGAAGTTTTTGAATCTTCAGGTTTTGGTCATTTGTTCCCCTTCCTCTATTGCCACGTACTAGAAGTATGTGCACGAACTTGTATGATCTAAAATCAAACTGATGCAGGTAGGAGTAGGCCATAGCTTTCAGTCGCATGCAACTGGCTGGAAATGGAAGCTTACTACGTGCTTGGGTGGAGATGGTGTATCTAGGATACGGAATAAGACATCACTTGGCTTGTGCCCTGGTGTAGATTTCCGTTTTGGGTGGAGAGCGGATTATGTTCTTCCAGAAATTACTGGGCAAGTTACTTACTTTTTACTTGAATAAATCTAAATCTTTTACGTTATAATATGCCCTATTATTGTAGTATTTATGGGTGACTGAAGCTTCAGGTGGTGCTCTTGCTGAGTTGATGATAGATAAACGATTAATTAGTATTTTTATTTCAATTTGGGTATACAGGGCTTTAGGTACTGAGGAACCGTTGTTCAACATGAATTCTGGACGGTTACAAGCCTCACTTGATAGAGTTGAGGCCATTTTTACCCAGTAAATAATTTAGACTAGGTATGGTTATCTGCTCTTGCTGTCAAAACACTTTCGAGACAAGGCACGGGACAAGAACATCTTAGTTTATTGTCATTTCTTCTTAGCCTTATTTCAATTATTTCTTCTTGAAGCTCTCGATGCAATGAGCGGGATTGTGGAAGATATGGTCTGGTGGTGTTTGAATGGCATCAATGACCACCCATAGCCAGCTGCGTACATCTTAAGTTCTTAACTAGGAATCGATCTCCACGAGTGTTGACCACTGACGAAATTGGGAGTCTCCCCTTCTGCGTCGGGAATTTGATATAATGAAATGGCTTCATACATCAAATATTGCAGACTTACATGGCTACATTGGTAATTCAGTATCCAGATTCATTGTATAACTACTGCTGGGTATCTATTCCCCCCCCCCCTCCCCCCTCCCCTCCCCTCCCCCCCTCCCATCCCCTTTCTACCCCTTCTGGACAAGCCCCTTTTCTTTTTCAAGTGATACCCTACCACAAAGAGGGTTTATTTCCAGATTTAATCTCAAAGTCATGTTCTTGATTCCCTATTCTGCATCAGTGTATTTATACATTTATAATTGAAGTTCATTAGCAGGTTTGTGTTTGTTATTGAATTTGTGCATTTTCGATTTTTATATATAGGCTCCGAGCTCTTTTTCCAAGAATCTCTTTTGCTTCTAGATTTTTTTTAGGTTGGGAAATCACACTAACTGGGCTGTTGAGTCACCGTGATTTATCTCTCCACAATCTTGTCGGGATTGGTGTGGGCTCTGGGGGCAAGGGACTTTGCCTTTTGAGGGTGTGAAATTGATTTATGTTAACATTGGCATAAACGTTTTATTTTGTAGTTTTCATAGTACAATCATTAAAATCCTCAATTATTTGTCAGTTTCTGAAAATCTCTACTCCATGCAAAATCTAGCCGTTGTGTAACACTATCAACGGTCACTTCCACATTCAATTCCTATAAAAACTTCTAACTTTTCTTCCACTTCTTTTCATAACCTTAAACACATCAAAATCCTACATAGTTTTGAGACCAATGGCATCTTCAAAGCTCCGGCAATCATGTTCTTTCCCAATTCTTCTTGTCTCTTTCTTGAATTTCATTCTCTCTGCAGCCTCCATAGCTCCCATGATCCTCTTGAAAATGCCACCAACTTCACTAGGCTATGCATTCCTCATGGTCTCTTCCATTTCCCTCTTCTCTGCACTCATAGGCTTCTACTCTCAATTTTGCTTCACAACCCATGTCACCCTCCTCCTCGGCTCATCCCTCGCCCAGTTCCTCGCATTCTTGACTCTCTTTACGAGGGAGAATCCTAGCCTCGCAATGCTGAAATCCCCGAGGGACCCCCGGGAGGCAAAGGTGTTGGTGAGGCTGGAGTGTGGGTTGATGATGGTGATGTTTGTGATGCAATTAGGAGTGTTGGTGGTGAGCTGTGTCGTGCAATGGTGTTGGGTGAGGAGGAGGGAGGATCAAAGTGCGGAGGCCGCCAAGGAGGCTTGGGCTCAAAAGAAGAGAGAGTGGATGGTTAAGGTTCACGAGAACGAGGGCACAGTGCCTGTTACTACAAAGATCGGTGAAGTGAAAGGTCTGGAGTTGGATGAGAAGATGAAGAGCAAGTGTGGCCAATGTGTTTAATCCGGGTTTTGGAGGCCAAAAACAATATTGTAAATTTTTAGTTAGACTACTATATGAACAAGTTATATAAATGTTTTTATTCTTTATCTAACGAGTTCCATAAAATGATTTTTTTTTTTTTTAATTCATAAGTTTCTTAACTTACACCTGACTACAATCCTAGATAACTATTTAAACATTCTTTGATAGAAATAATTTTTTTTTTTAAAAAAAAGAGTAAATGTAATATTATTCGGTCTATTACAATTTTTTTTAAATGATGAAAGAAATTTTTAGTCATTATTCGCGAGTGTACACAATAAATTCACCCCGATGACCCATAAGTAAATTGTGCTAAAAATATATTCTGCACAAAAATAATATTTTACTCACTAAATTATCTATTTCGGACCCAAGGTATTTAATTATTTATTTTGTCCAAATAAAATGTGGGAAATCAAGTTACCATTATAACCAACATTTCAATCTCTGACCGGCGACGTTTGGAACACTGAATACGATGGCGGCCACCTCATCGCTGTGTCAAACCTTAATCCACAAACGCTCTCTCCGTCACCTCGTACCCAACACTAATTTCCTTCCAAATTTTCTCTCAAATCCCACATTTTCCTTAATTAATCTCAGTAATAACAAGAATTTCGCCAGGCCTTTCTGTACAGCCATCTCTGCCTCAATGGGATCTCCCTCCTTCAAGTCTGAGGAAGCTCGGGTCCCACCCGCTCTTCCCTTGCCTACGCCGCCACTCTACAAGGTAGTTCACTAGCACATTTTCTTATGTGGGTATTACTTGTATGTGCGATTCAACTATGTATGAATTGGAGATTACAGATTAGTGCTATCATGTCTGTTCTGTGGAGCCACAAGAAACATAAGTTTTTGCTGAGGGGAATAAGATGATCCTTTAGTCATGGAAAATGATTAACTAATATTAATATTGCACTTTATTGGTATGGTTATGTTGTCAGTTTTATCATCACCTTATTTGAGAGTTGAGACTCTCTTTTGATTCGGTTTGGGAAGAAACAGGATGCAGCATTGAGAATGGTTTTCTAATTTCTACTAGAAAGACTTATCAAGCCATAAAGATTTAATCTTTAGTTATAAATATATACTCTGTGTACATTTTGTCTTTAGTTGTAATGTTACATATGTAGTGCTTATGTGTATAGGAATGCATTTTTTTTTTTTTTTAGTACGGAGGGAAATACGCAGCCACTATTCGAGGGTGTGCACTAAGTAAATCTCGCCTTGTGAGCCTAGCCGGAAAATAACCACAAGAAGGTAAACCAGCGTAACTGACCAGCTCAAACCAAAAAGTCCAATAGGCCCCTCCATATTCGAACGTGTAACCTTATGATTAGTTGGTTTTTGAGTCAACACTCCAACCAACTTGGCTGGGGTTGCCCCCTATAGGAATGCATTTTATGTTAGTGTTAATTCTGTTTCTAGTTATACTTGTGGGTTTTAGAAAATACTCCATATCTCATAGGTCCTTTATAATTAATCTTCTATTAGCTAGTTTATTCCTTTCCTTTGGTTGGTTGAATCAAAAGGTCTGGTTTGTGGAAAGTTGTGATTGACCATTTGATTTGAGTGGAAATGATATATAATGGTGATTTTGTTTTATTTGTTTCAGTTCAAGATTGCACTTTGTCAGTTGTCTGTGACTACTGACAAGGAGAAAAACATTGCTCGTGCTAAGAAGGCCATTGAGGATGCTGCACAGCAGGGTGTTGAACTGGTTCTCCTTCCTGTAAGTTTAACTAAATCCATCCTTATTTTTTCTTTTGAGTGACAAAAACTTGTATTTTATAAGGTGGTATACTACATCTTTCAGTTTTTTTTTTTTTCTTCCTTTTTTCCTTCTAAATATAAGTTGCACTTGATCAAATTACTACTTATAGTGCTTAAAATTCCCGCATGAAATTAAAGAGTATGTATCGTTATCTGTCTACCAAATGCCAGGGATTTTCATCAGTGACTCTACCCTTCATTTCTGAAACTGCAAAGTTGGCTGCTATACTAACACATATTCCTTTGTGTTAAATCAGGAAATATGGAATAGTCCATATTCCAATGACAGTTTTCCACAATATGCAGAGGACATTGATGCTGGATTTGATGAATCTCCGTCAACTAGGATGTTGTCTGAACTTGCTAAGAGTCTGCAAATAACAATTGTTGGTGGCTCTATACCTGAACGTAGTGGTGATAAATTGTATAACGCATGTTGTGTCTTTGGCACTAATGGAGAGCTTTTGGCCAAGCACAGAAAGGTTTATGCTTTTTTCTTTCTTGTTTCTTTTGGCTTGGGAGACATTGAAATGATCTTCCTTTCTGACTTTGCCAAGAAAACAATGGTATTTTTTGTCCTGATAATGGAGGTGTTTGGTAAATAGCTATTAGCTGATTGGGTTAGTAGGTTTGACTAGTTGATAGTATTAGCTGATTGTAGAAAGATGTATGGTAAATTAGCTGTTAGCTGATAGCTGATTACATACAAAATGACTTTCTCAAAAAGTTCATCGAAAAAGCTGCTTTGAGCTTCTTTTTGAATTTTAGTGTTTTGGTCTTTGGAGCAATAAGCTGTTACAAAAAGCTACGGAGTAATTAATCAAACACTCATATTGGTTGTTTAACCAATCAAACAGTTAATAGTGGTCAAACAAGCCATAATTGGCTGATAGACTAACTATTTTACCAAACAGGGTCAATATTATTTTGCCATCTGATATATATTGTGTTAACTAATTCTCTAGAAATTGAATCATTTTATGATTGAGGTGTTGCTTTACTGTCACTGATAAACTGCCTCTTTTACAGATACATCTTTTTGACATTCATATTCCGGGCCAAATTACCTTTAAAGAATCAAATACTCTTACAGCGGGGGAGAATCCAACCATTGTGGACACAGGTCATCTGTCATCCTTGCCTTATCTTTATCCGTTATCAGGACATAAAACGAAAGGAGAGAATTGTCAAAATACATACTTTGAGACTTTTAGGTTTGGAGCTATGAGTATATAGTGATTTAATAGTCTTCACTTGTCATTGATTAAACCCTCCACAAACTTTTTCCTTTCTTTACCCCAAGCTAATGAATGTAAATTGTTAATTCTTACCCAATTTTGGTACCATATTGTGTTACCTCTCATTCATCCTATGAGAAATTAACTGTTCAGTTTTATACACAGCTGTTGGGCGCATTGGTATAGGTATATGTTATGACATTCGGTTTCAAGAGCTAGCTGCCATCTATGCAGCCAGAGGTATGGATTATTTTGCCCAACTATTAGCAAGTTATTTTACTTCTCTCCATTGCGAACTTTTGAACTATATAAACTTTCTTTTGGGTGATGAGGGAAACCCGCAGCCACTACTCGAGGGTGTGCACGGGTAAATCCTGCCTTGTGACCCTAGTCGGCAAAGGACCAGAAGAAAGTAAACTGGCCTAGGTTTCCCATAGCTGATTGGCTCAAACCAAGAAGGCCAATAGGCTGCTTCCACTAGGAATCGAACTTGTAACCTTGTGGTTACCAAGCCAACAGTTTGACCAACTTAGCTTTCTTTATTCATGTTATTCCATGAACTTCAATAAACATAAGCAAATCGAGGCTCTCCTTGGGATCACCAACAAACTTAATATCAAAATTTGTTTGCAGAATTCTTTTCTTATTATACTTGTCTTATTCCAAAATGGACTATGTTGAGCTTAAAATTCAATTGTGGAGTACAGCATAAGACGGTACTGTATCGTGTAGCTATCATGGAGAAAGCTAACTAGTTTCTTTCCTGAAGGAATGTTTTCACCTAACATAGTTTTCATCCGTAGTATTTCTATTTCATTGAATTTTCAGCATGTAGTTTGTAAATAAATTGTTTCCTATTGGCATGTAGGTGCACATTTGCTATGTTATCCTGGGGCATTTAACATGACTACTGGACCACTGCACTGGGAACTATTGCAACGGGCAAGGTAATGTATAGATTTTTAACCCTTTTTTATTTATTTATTTATTTTTAATATAAATTTTGGCTTCTGATACCATGTTAGGAAAGATTTAGAAGAATTTGTTGTATTACTTCCTTGTCTCAAGGGAGAGACAACATACAAATATATACAGACTTAAAAAGACACAATCCTACAGACACAACTTTTGTGTTTCAACACAGACAATGACTTATGGAAGTTGAGGTCTGGTTTCTGTAATGGTCTAATGATGTAAGAGTCGACACCTGGTGTGCTTGAAAAAGAAAAATCAAAATTGGGGCACACTGCCACTTCACTTCAACTCCATGCGTGTATGCTATCAAATCAAATTTCCTTTGCAATCCCAGCCAAGTTGGTCGGGCCGTTTAACTTGGTAACCACAAGGTTCCAAGTTCGACTCCTAATAGGCAACCTAGGCTGGTTTACCTCCTTGTGGTCCTTTGCTGACTAGGATCAAAAGGCGGGATTTATCCAGTACACACCCCCAGATAGTGGCTGTGGGTTTCCCTCGTCACCCAAAAAAATCAATTTTCCTTTTGATCTGAGGTACCCAATAATTTAACAAACTGCTTTTTCCTTTAGTTACACTATGTCTGAGCAGGTTGTTTGGACATTCATGTGTCTTTAATCTTTCTATTCAACCTTGCGGTTTATAGAATCACACCTGATAGCACAATCGTTTTTTTTTTTTTTTTTTTTTTTTTTTTCATTTGACCTGCAGAGCTGCAGATTGTCAGGTATCTTGGTGGAATCTTCATATGATGAGGCTGAATTACATTTTAGCTATGCTCCTCGTATGACTATTTGATGTTGCTTTCTTTCCTTATAGTTGTATGTAGCAACCTGTTCACCAGCAAGAGATTCCGGTTCTAGTTATGTAGCTTGGGGACATTCCACCCTCGTTGGGCCGGTAAGAAAATTATGGCATTATTATTATTTATTTATTTTTTCTCAATTCTTAGACAACTTTTTGCTCTACTGTAACCAAGTCAACTTGAGAGATGTCACTAGTCACACTTTCCTCAGCCTTTCGTTTTATGTAAATGTCCTCGGCAATGATTACAACTAACGAAATGAATTGAATGTGGCAGTTTGGGGAGGTTCTTGCAACAACCGAGCATGATGAAACTACAGTAATCGGAGAGATTGACTATTCATTGATTGAGCTTAGAAGGTACGTTTGATCAAGAATATGCACTCGTAAACTTTGATCTAATTTGGTTATGCTTTGCGCTGATGATTAAAAACGACGATACCTTTGACTGCTTTCTTGCTCGAGAATATGGGATTATATGGTTTTTAACATCATTCATTATTAGCCCAAAACGAAATTTATCTTCATCATCATCATCTATACTCCAAGAATCGATAAAGTGATAAACAGAAGGACAAAAATTTAGACTTTTTTGGTATCTCTGAAAGCGAATTACCCTCCAGTCGCTATTTCCTTAGATATGCTTATGAAAATTGTAAATGGACATGCAGAACGTACCTTCCATTTCAGAAGCAAAGGCGAGGGGATCTATATAAATTGGTTGATATTCAGAGATTGAATTCTACAGCTGGACATTAAGTTCTGTTTAGGAAAAAACGAGGGACTAGAATGAATGATCTAAGCTTGCTTGCAGTGTAAAGATACACTCTATCCCTACTTGGCCATGGATACCTGCTATTCTGGAACTGCTTAGCTATGGATGTAACGAATAAAGAGAAGCGTGATTAGTGACAACTTGTTCTCTTGATCTATGTCAAGTAGAAATCGAACATTTTTTTGTTCGTGATATTTGCATCGAGAACTAGAATAAGTCCATGATGTTTCTTCTGCTTTACTGTAATGCAGTTTTATCCTCAAGACCAACTAGTTAAACTGGCTTGGGGCAAAAGGGCATTGGCTTGAAATTGTCACTAAAATTGTTTTATGAAGGGTTGGTTTCAATCTTATTTCTATGAAGACATGGGTCTAAGGCTATCTCTAACCCAAAAATCTAAATTTTACGTCAAAAGGAATATATTCTTAGTATATTTTAGTACCAAATTTTATCCATCTCTAACTCATTTGTACCAAATTCTAAAAAGTCCCAGGAACTGAACCGCTTGATCACCCATAGTTTTCATATAGTAAGTCATGACAACGTTGTAAGCATATAAATTTAGTCATAGTTTCCATATAATAAATCATGACAACGTTGTTAACATATAAATTTAGTAATGCTTTTCCTCGTAATTGTATTATATTTGTGAGGTCATCAACTCATCCTCTTGTGGTGAGGATAAGGGTGAGGGTGAGGATGAGAAGAAGAAAACAGATGAAATGGTAATAATCATTTTCAACTGTTAGATTAATTCATAATGATCTTAACCATTAATTGGTATGCATATCTTTCCAACACACATTCTAACAGGAAGATATGATATCTTTTCACAAACTTTAACTGAAGATCGTGTCTTTTACAATTAGATTAAATCACTATAGCTATATCAAAATTTGGGCACTACTCAATTACAAGATTCGATACATAACATATTGCTAGCTGTATCTAAAACAAATGATGTAATGGCTCTTGTCTCCGCATATGAATAGATATGATCTCTACGTACAGAAGACAGGTATGTGTGGAGTCTCATGATAGTGGTGGGTGGTAGATTCCGTACGACATCTGTGCGATCTGATTCCTTAATTTTAAGGTTGTAGGGGTGGGGGTCGGAACATTGGTTGGCCACCCGGCCTGTTTGAAACCAAACATTATCGGCTAATTCCGAAAACAAAGAACACAACAAAAGGAAAGGGAATGTGGTTTGCCCAGTCTGGCAATGACACAACCACATGCACGCGCGGCAAGCCAAGCCAAGCCTTCTTTTCTATGTTAGTACGTTCCCATTACATATTACACATTTACACTAGAGTAGACCGTCCAATAATTCCCCACTCCGCATGTTCATACGCATGCCCAACCTAAAGTCTCCTACTCTCATTTTTTGCTATTTTTTTTTTAAGAAAAGAAAAATAGTTAATTCTAATTGTATTTCTTGACAATTGTGTATTTTCATATTCAGCTGGCTAAGTTTAAGGATGCCACTTGTTCCACCAGGGTCGAAGAGCATCCATAACAGTGGGGATATTATGTGGGTTTTGTGGAGTTTTTGTAAGTGTAATTAGGAAAGAGAATATGAGAGGTGAGAAAAAAAATAAAACAAAACTGATTTAAAAAAAAGGTTACTGTTCTGCGCGCCCGATGGGCATACTTGTGACACGCACGAGCTGCCCACGCGACTGGCCTCATTTCTCAATGGGACCCACTTTTCTGCCATAATCTCCTCTCTTGCAGAGGAACCTCAACCCTCTCTCTTCGCCAACATGGCCATTTTTTCTTAGAAAATATGCAATATCCTAAGATGTGGATGACCTAATAACTTGATGGGACGATCTATACTAGTTCTATAGAGGCTTTTGTCGCCGTAAAGATCTCTGTCCTTGGGATAGGGGATTAGTATTATCCTTGTCTTTTTTCCACCCGTATCGGTTATTTCGTGATTGAAATCAACATCAATCTAGGTGTTCCTTGCTGTGGACAACTCATCGTCACGTCCTGCCTAGTGACTATAATGTGCGCGTATTTCTCGAGCGAACTAACTAGCCTATATTTCCCCCAGTAAGTACTTATCTTGATGTGGTATACGATATACAATTTCTGTAGTCCAATATGATATATTATATCCAATTATTATTTATTTACAAGTAACGATATGAATTTATCCCGTTATATACACCACAATTCTAGGAGTAATAATTAAGTCCTCTAATGTTGTAAAGTAATGAAAATTCCCACCTTATATATGCGTCATAATTTTGGAGGCTAATCAATCATACTCTATTCCCCTGCGGAAGTTTCCTTCTCTCTCTCTCTCTCTCCCAAAATCCAAGCCGTGCCATTTGGCTTTTCCACCAACTTCTCTATATAGCCACCTTCCACTACAGTATCTGATCATTATTTATTTTCCATGTCCACTTTCTTCTGAAACTCTACTCTGAATCTATCTCTGATATGGAAAAGCCATGGCGGAACGAAAGAAGTCAGCGGAGGAGGAAAACTCCGTCCTTCTCTTCCTCCCTCCTGGAAGCCATTTACCATTCCATTGACGAGTCGGTAGAAGAGAAAGAAACGTCGTCGTTCGCCGCCGCCGCGGCGTACAGAAGGAACAACAATGGCGGCGGCGTTGAAGTTGAAGAGGAAATCACAAGTCTCCGACGAGCAATCATGTTGGAGAAATGGATGGAGAGCTACACGAGGAGACACTTCAACTCCGACTCCAGCTCGTCCACGGATTCCAGCTTGTTTTCTTCGTCGGAGACGGAGTCGTCGGCGGCGTCTAGGTCTACTCCAAAATCGTCGATTTTCACGGCGAAAAGTTCGGAGAGGGAAAAGACGGCCGCCGCCGCCTCCTCTGCAACATTGTGCGCCGGCGAGGTGAATCAGAAACGCGAAGGGCGGTTCATGAGGACGAAATCTAGGGCGCTGAAGATCTACGGAGATCTGAAAAAGGTGAAACAGCCGATTTCACCGGGCGGAAAAATCGCTAACTTCCTGAATTCAATATTCAACTCATCGAGATCAAGCAATAGCCTGAAGAAACACCCCGCGGAAGCCATCGAAGATTGGAGCTCAGTGACGAAGTCTAGATCAGTGAAGGACTCAACAATGGCGTCCAGGTCTTGCCTGAACAAGACACCTTCCCGAGCCAAATCCAAAAGGTCAGTGAGATTCTGCCCCGTCAGCGTCATCCTCGACGAAGATTGCCAGCCCTGCGGCCACAAGAACACATACGAAAACGACAAGAATCCAATGCCATATATCCCTACACATTACATTAACCACAGTTTCCGAGATTCCAGAGAAATTTACAGCAGTGACGACGACGACGAAGACGTGAGGAGCTGTACTAGCTCAGATCTGTTTGAACTGGAAAACGTCGGCTCTTTCAGCCGCGTATTGGATGCAACGGCGGCGGCAGCGGCGGCGGATGAACTGCCTGTTTATGGAACCACCAGCCTTAAACTCAATCAAGCCATTGCTAATGGATTACGTTCATGATGATGATGTAACTTGATTAACAGTTCTTGGATCATTTAACTTGAGTGATTATATTATTATCTACCTACGGGCTACCCTCTGTATCATATTCAACTTTGTTTATGAAAGCTTTGCGTTATGCTTGCTAGTTGCTAGTATAAAGGCTAAATTAGTGTAACTTTTTTTGGCAAAGAGAGAAATCAGCATTCACAATTAAGAGTTTGCACGAATAAAGCATGTCTTGTGACCTAACTGTTCACAAAGAAGTAAATTAACTAATCTAAGTTCTTCTTAAAAGGTTGAATCTCCAATTCTAATGGTCTGACAGAGCATTTAGGATAATCAGACAGAACCACAGAGACCAGAGGCTAAACTTTTGCTTACTGCACACAAAGAGCCTCTATGCAGTGTTGTAAAAATCGCGCCAAGGTCGGCTTTCTAGGCGCCCTAGGCAGTCCTCAGGTGCCTAGCGATTTTTTCAATATTGTCATATGACCAATTGAGCTGTCTATGTAAGTAAATCTAAGTTACTCATAATATTGGGTGTTGAGAGAAACCATCAATTATTATTTAGAGTTGTACCATATATAAACCCAATCTTATGACATAATTGATCATAAAGAGATAAATTAAACTAATCAATATAGGATGTTATATTCATAACTAATCAGTTTAAACTAAGAAGACTAATAAACTGCTACTAAAATTTAAACTTGTAATCTTGTGGTTATTAAATTTGAATTTCCTTTTTCACAGGCTAGACAGAGTACTCGAAACTGGCTAGAATAGAACTTCTTTTTCAGGGTAGAGTACTCGAAACTAGCTATAAGCTCTAGTTCATGCAACCAAGTGACAGGGCTATGATCAAGAAAACAACCCATCATCTATGAGAAGGAATTCAACACTAGATGTTCCACGTTTGTAATGATGGATATGGGTTGGGTTTCTTTGGGTTGAAGATAAAATGATTCCTTTCAATTCCATGCCATTCTTTCTTTCTTTCTGCACTTTTGAGGAGTTGAAATTGTGAGATTATGCAGGCTATAAAACAAAAGGTATATATCCACGCAACTCATCTTTGCCATAGAAATAGTAAAGTTACACCCAATGTGGTACTTTGGTACACTGTGGGCAGGGAAACAAGATCGGGACCTGTCTATCATAGTGTTGGAGTTACATTTGATATGGTAGGTTCCGTAGGCACAAAACATCGATCCTCCTATTTAAGAGTTTGCTGAATTACCGTGATTTATTCCTCCACTATATATCCTGTCAAATCCAGAAATAGGGTCTTTTGTGAGCAATAAATAATAAAGTTACTATTGGTTTAAATTTTTGAGTTAATTCCAGCAATAGTCCCCCGACAATATTGATTTGCCAAAATTAGTCCCTGACTTTTAATTTGGACACTTTACGTCCCTTGACTTTCAATTTCTTTCCAATTGAGGTCCTTTCGTCATATTACGGTAAAGTGAACTTTAAATGAAAGGATAAAGTAGTCATTTCAACTGCTTAATGTATAATTCTTTGTATTTCTTCCTTGTATACGCGACTTCAGACATCAGATTCACTTAATTGCTTAATCCCTAATAGAATTTTGTTCTTCGAATGGATTTAGGGATGAGAATTGTTTTTTTTTTTTTAAAGAGTTTTTCATTTTTGGTCATAGATACTACCAGAACGTCTCCTTTGGTCCTAGCACAATTGTGGCATCACCATTTTTTATCGCCGTCTCTATCGTTTGGTGGCCGGAAAACATCGTGCTTGCCGAAATGTTGTCGGAACTAATTAAGCTGGTGCATTATTAACCTGAGGTCACCATTAGAGTTTTAGACTTTGATACACTAAAGTAATATGTTAACGTGTTTAATTACAACTTTTAAATATATTCATTGACCTAATTGATTTTTTAGAAAATTTAATGATGTATTTGACTATTTTTTCTATAAAAAATAAATAATATACCGTCATACTGTTAATTTAAAGTGTGAGCATGCAATACTTGGATTTTGCAGCTGCCATGAACCGATGCTGTTCACATATCACTATTTGGAATGATTTGAAAAGTAAAAAAATGGGCAAAGTGTGAGTCATATGAGTCCCTTTTTTGCCCCTATATATGAAAAAGATAATGACATCGATCTTCGGAGCACAGGCAGTAAGGATCTTTATAAGAAAGTGAGCATTATATTATGATGTTGTCTGCTATGGCGTTCCTACTCATCAATAGGTTTGAAAAATGTTTCCACACGTACCTGTTTTAAAGTGGCCTGCCACACCAACTATCAACTCTCAACCTATAGTAAAACAAAAATTAGTTTAGATGAGGGCAATTTCACTCGAGATATTCAAGTAGTTAGACTTGATAATTACTGAATTACAAATTTAACTGTTAATAAGAATAATAGTTTTGATTTGAGCTGATTAGTTATGAGTAACTTAAGATAATTTTTGTACTTAAAAGTTATGAGTTTGACGTCACATACTAGGTCTTTCTAGTGCGGGGTTTACCTTGGGCTTTTACATCAACGAAATTTACCATGTCCACATCCTCAAATAGTGATTGTGTACCAGTTTCCCTCATCACAAAAGGCGACGACTTAACTCAATGGTTTAAGAGTCTCCCTGAAAATTTTGCTCCAAGGGTAAGGTGAGAGTTTAAGAGTTCGACATGGGTGGGGGGAGGGGGTTCACTAGGAGACAAAATCCAAAAAAAATTGATTAGAGGTAATGAAAACTCTTTGTGCACAAAGAAAACTGATTGGGCGACACGCGTTTTACCTCTTCTAACACCAATATCTAGCGAAAAACTTAATATATCAAAAAAAAAAAAAAACATTATGTTTTTTTTTTCCTCTTAAATGTTTATGTATATTATATTTGTCTGTACCGATTTAAAGAAGAGGGTTGCATCTATCTCATTTTATAATATTTAATTATATTTAACTAATTTAAAATTAAATAAAATGGGATAGACCTATAGAGTTAGTATTTATATATAGTTGAATAATGTATGTCTTTTCCAATGTATAGAAAAGAGTTAAATGTTTTTTAGTGTGGATGATAATTATCTTAAAAAAACTATTGTAGTGTAAATATTATATATACTTCTATAAGAACTCATGTTGTATTTTATATTATTGTCTAAATTGATCTCATCAATTTTCAATAGTGAAATGCTGATGTGGGCAAATTATGTTGTGGAACCGTGTCTATCTTGCATAATCTAAACTATAATAAAGCTATATGGTTGGGAAGTAATTAATGTTACAATTAATGTTACTTCCCAAACCATATAGTTAAGATTAATGTTACAATTAATTACCAACATTATTATTATTACTAGCTATAAATATAAAATAGCCACAACATCATTTACTATTAAAAAAAAAAACACAACATTTGAAAAATAAAGTAGCTATTTTTTTTCTCGCTCATAACAAAGGATTACATTTATTGAATTAATGGAGTTATTAAATGTTATGATATTAGGATTAAGGATTCCGATTCCCGATTAATAGAAAATATGAAACGATGCAATATCAATTAAATCTCTGACTTTACAATGAAAGTTTATTTGATATGCTTTTGTTATTTATGGTGCTTCTTGGGATTACAATATTAATTAAATTTTTTATGAAAGCCTATTCGATATCTGAAACAGTGCAATTAATGCAAGCCTCCACATATAATTTTTCTCCCTCTCAAATGCTTCAAAGAAATGGCAGAAGCGAGAAGGGATGAAGAAAGCAAATGCAGCGGGCCGTGGGTCAATTATTGGACTTCAGAATAAAAAAAAATCATTTGAGCCATAAATAAAAATTTAAATATATATATAAATGTATATATCGTATGGGTCTTTAATGTTTTTCTGGATTTCTAAACTTAGGACTTTAAAAAAAAAAATACATTTGAATTATCTCCACAAAAAGAGGACTTGGACTTATAGAATGACATTTGGGTTTATGGAATGACATGTGCATAAAGAATATATTATATAATCATATAAAAAATGTGTTTAATTAGAGTTTAAATTTACTCATACAAAATTTGAAATTTGCTTTCTAAATGTAATTATGTAAATTCTTTCTATAACTTTATTTGAATATGTACATAATTAGAGATTATATTAACCATACAAAATTTTAATTTTAATTTTAATTGTAGTTTTTTATTCTATAAAAATAATAAATACTTGACCAATGGAAGCTCAAAATTAATATTATATTAAACAATTTAAAATATTTTTATTTTTTCTATTTTTTATTAATATTTATAATAACATGATTTTTTTCCCGTGCATCGCGCGGGTGATAATTATTAAATAACAAAAATTTTATATATGAATAAACCTTATATAGGGTATATTTTTATAACATATTTTCCGTGCAAAGCACGGGACAAATACTAGTTATGCATATATAGTTCAAAAATTCTGAACATATAATTTTATAATTATGAACATATAATTATCTAATTATGAATATAGAGATTCAATAATTGTAAATATGAAATTCAAAAATTATGAATATATAGCTTTATAATTATGAACATATAATTCAATAATTATGAACATAGAACTGTATCTACTTTGCAAGGTGGACACAGTTCCACAGTATAACGATCGGCTTATGTGGGTCTGAGGTGGACAAGTCCAAAGATATTGTACACCAAGTATAGGTTGAAATTAAATGGTATATTTTATATTATTGGATAAATTAAAATAAGTGTTGGCAATAATATAATGTTACAAGCGAATAGTAATATCTTAGTACATTAATATGTAAGGGAGATCAGGAGCTTGGCCTTGGAAAATTGTGAAGCTCTGATCTCACTGTAAAACAGATGATCTAAAATGATGAGTATTAACGAGTCACATGATTACATATAACAAATAGGTTTACAATATAATGCACTTTCTAATTAGTGACAACCAGCGATAGATGTACCACACGGCTGACAACAATATACTATATTCACATATCTTGAACTCAACTGACTGAGCTTAGGGACTGGTTGGCATTAGGATTAGTCCAATGGAAAGCTAATGGGGTTGAAGCCGAGCACTATTTGTCACTATATATGTATGACTTGGATGCATGTCCTTTGGTTGGATTTTCCTTTTAGAGTGTGTTTGAAAATTTGAAAAATGAAA